TCTCTTCCACTAACTGGATCCTTGAGTTCTGAACCAAACCAGATCTCAGCTTTTCTATTTGTAGAGTAAGACGGGCAGGTGAAGCATCTCTGTGATTCTTTACCAGTACAGACACATGATTTTGCTGAAAAAAATCACAAGTTCTTCTCCTATTCTTTTTAAACTTGGATGAGAATTAAATATCTCTGTTCAAGACCGGAAAATCGTGATTCCACACATTAACTAGGAGGGGGATACAGAGCTATTTAAAGAGCATCCTGCCTCTGAGGATTTTTAAGAAGGTGAAGCATATTCCTGTAGTTATTGTCTCACCCCTGGAACACAGATATAAATATCAACCACACTATTCCCACACTGTGTTTTATCCCCCTGGAAAGGCTCTGATTGTAGCAGAAGGTCTTTGGGGGCTGAGTGTGTGGCATGGCTTTCTCTTGGTACCAGCTGGTTGGGGAGGGCAGTGCAAGTGCTCTTTGGCTCCGACATCACTCTACCATTAAGAGTTGGACCAAAAGCTCTTCAAATGCAGCTGCAGCCAGCTCTCTAAATACTAAAGGAGTCAGCTGACTGACTCCAAGGACCTGTAATCACACCTCATTGTCATTCTGTGTATACATGTAAGGAAGTGTGTGCAATTAACATCCAGTTCATGATTGTCATCAGAAGCTATTAATTTCTGATCTTCCCCAATCGCCAGAGCATTTTAAAAAAAAAAAATCTATATATTTTTTCCAGCCCAAGTGTCAAGGTCTCATTCATTTCTTCTCCCATTTTTCCTGTCCCTTCTCTCCCCTAGTTTTATTTTCTTACTTTGTCTCTCTTTCTCTAGTGCTAGCCATAGATGTTAAATGAAATTAACATCTGTTTGTTAATTTCTCCAAGGCTTTTGAACCCAGCCAGATATGCGAGTTGAATTAGGTAGTCTGAGTAACTGGTATGTTGGGCAAGATGGGCTGAAAGACAGAATCAAAACAGAACCTTATTTTGAATTTTGCTCCCTACTGTGCCC